GGCCTCATGGGCTTCCTCCGCCGACACTGCTTCATCCTTCATGATGTCAAGGATCGATTTCTTTCGTTTCGCATGGGCTAAAGTAATGCCACGTTCCTCACAAATTTCGATGAGTTTCTTCACTTTGAGGTTCTCCATCGTTCACTCTAGCCTTTTGCTGTTTGCCCCTTTTAAGAACCTACTTTTCCCCGCCGCGGTAATCTACTGGCTAAGGTACTCGGCTGCTGACTCGCAGGTCGCAGGGTCGACTCCCCAATGTAGCGGCTGCATTTCCTATGGAGGCGGAAAGGCTGTAGGCCCATGAGCTCAGATTTGGGTGCATGTTAGAGAACCCCAGGTCGTCAAAATTTCCGGAACGGACAACTACGGCGTCTCTTATACTCATACTATGGTTTTGGGATGTTTAACCCCACATATCAATCAATTATCAGGAATTTACTTGCCCAACACATTACAAGTCTACTAGCAAGACGCGCAAGCAATATTTAACACTGCCGTGTTTATACCCTCCGCAGTAATTTTGGTTTCAAAACGCTCCGACTTGGCTTGAAACGAACTGGCTTGAAGCTCACTCACTAATGCTACACACAGACTTTCACTAAACTCCTATAACCTGTGTTAGAGTAGTCTGGTGAACTGAGGGGAAAACATCAGGCACCCACCGCATCGATTTCGCTGATGCCGGGCAATCCTGCAGCTGCCATCCACTGTTTCGAAGGCGCGACGCCAACACGGTCCCGAAGGCGCCACTGCTCCGAAACTTGCCGCAAAGGTCACCAGCCGTTTTGGTAATGTGTGTTTCTCAGCTCGCCACTCCTTCTGTGCAGAGCTGAGAGACGCGTGGACAAGACGACAGTGAGTAAACGCGAGGTTTATATACAGCATAGAAATAGACGCGTTACATTTTCGGCACAGGAGCCGACAGCTTATGGACTCGAACAGCCGAGATGTCTTCTCTCGCACCCATATGTCGGCTTCTCTCTGACGCATAAGTCAACTGCTCGCAATGCGCCGCATAGCTTTTTTAATACGTACAGGGTAGATTTTTTGCATCAACAACGTCTAGCCAGAAGCGCCGCTGGCCGTGATGTCAGAATCCTCCAATGGAGACCGCCGCTGGGCTGCGTCATAATGATCAAATCTGGAGCCGTTGCGCGAGGTGGCAACCAAGGACGACATGTTGCCACGCATTACGTATGACTCGCCAGACTGGAAGGCACCGATTACTTCATCGGGCTCGTGGGCTGAGGGAGCTCGCTGTGCATTGCGTGAGACAGACCGGCACCGCCACTTGATAACGTCGCTGTGTTCATCAGGCCAGGTGAACTGGTTTGCTGGCCTTGACCCAGATTGCCTTTGCTGAGGCACTGACGTTCAATGTGGACTCCCAGGCGTAGGAAGGCCCTTCTGCTCAGATTTTTGTGCCCGTCAAAGAACCACAGCTGGTCAAAATGACCGGAGCCATCCACTACGGCATCTTTCATAATCATATGGTGGTTTTCGTTAAACCCCGCAAATCAATCATTGCAAATATTAAGGGCCTCTAGCAGTCATCATTCATCAAAATGATTGATGTGATTGATTTGTGGGGTTTAACGTCCCGAAACCACCATATTATTATGAGAGATGCCGTAGTAGAGGGCTCCGGAAATTTTGACCACCTGGGGTTCTTTAACGTGCACCCAAATCTGAGCACACGGGCCTCGACATTTCCGCCTCCATCGGAAATGCAGCCGCCGCAGCCGGGATTTGAACCCGCGACCTGCGGGTCAGCAGCCGAGTACCTTAGCCACTAGACCACCGCGGCGGGGCTCATCAAAATGCAACCAACGTGACTGGTATTCTAGAAGCGCCTTTAGGATTCGTAGCTGAGCACCAGAACCACCAACACATTATCGTGGCTGCCAAATGAAAAGGTATCACTACATCCGAGGTAGTGCAAAAATCTGTTTCTTGCGAAGTAGCCAACCAATTATTGTGAAAGCTGCATTTTTTGGCATTGAGTAAAGCTTTACAACGTAAGTCGAGGAGATCTTTAAGCGTAGGTCGCTGTCAGAAGATCGTGGGCTTACCAGGAACTTCCATTACACCTTCATTTTATTTGTGACATAAGGTTTGATGTAACTTTAGACCTCGTTCTAGAGCACAGTCATCAGCAATGTAGAAACGTGGTCTGCTCTACGTTGCTATATATTGAATATACACTGTAACATTCACTAGCACATTCTTCCGAGGTCCACTGACGCTATAATACAGCTTGCTGAATCTCAGTAATCAAAATACAATGTATAATAGACTGCTAATAAAGTCAACAGCTGCTCCCCCGGTAACGTTAACTACACATGACACCTGTATTATTGAAGAAAATATGTAGACATATTTGTTTTGTGATGAAATTACATGGCCAGCCAGCCGTTCAACAACACGTGACGCTGCAATGACATGACACCTGCATTTGGTCGTTTTCTAAAACAGCGTTAAAACCTATCTTGACTCTGGGGTAGAATAGCGTTTGCCCCGCTAATGGTTTGGGTTAGATTCCTACTTCGATCCTAAGTCTCATTCGTTATATTCATCTGATTAATGCTGCCAATGCCAATTTTTCCTGACGCTCTCGCATTTGAATTCCCAGTGTTTGCGCTTGCTGTTCCTGGTTGATTAAGTTTTCTATTCCCTGTGGCACATACCAGCATCCTCTTACCCCCATACACCGTTCTCAGTGGAGATCACACAGACGTAGATAGATAGATAGATAGATAGATAGATAGATAGATAGATAGATAGATAGATAGATAGATAGATAGATAGATAGATAGATAGATAGATAGATAGATAGATAGAAAGATAGATAGATAGATAGATAGATAGATAGATAGATAGATAGATAGATAGATAGATAGATAGATAGATAGATAGATAGATAGATAGATAGATAGATAGATAGATAGACAGACAGACAGACAGACAGACAGACAGACAGACAGACAGACAGACAGACAGACAGACAGACAGACAGACAGACAGACAGACAGACAGACAGACAGACAGACAGACAGACAGGCACTCAATGTGCTTTAGAATGCTTCCCGCTGAAAATGTTCATGGCCCTGAGTGTTAAACCTAACTTCTTGTTCGCTTTTCAAGCCCCCATTTCCAGCTTCCTGCACACTTCTCTCATAGCAAGCAGGGTTTCTAATTGTAGGGTAATTTTCGGAATTTTTCGGATGCGTGGGGTAGTAGGACATTCTCGTAGGTTAATACCAACACTTTGCTCGTTATTGATCAGCGCAATATGTAGAATCTCCGCGTACCATATACAAACGGTAAATTTCCTTACAGATCCTAATAGACACTGTCCTAAATCTAGTTTCACCATCGTAAAAAACAAAGTTAATACATCAAAAAACATGTGCAAAGTTCGTTTTTTTGTTAGGATGACTGGCTTTTTTTCTGTGTGGTCTCCCACCTGTCAGTTGCATAAAGGGGCTTTTACAATTACGACGATGGCATCAGCTTCTGTTACTCAGGTAAAATCTTTTTATATCTTGTAATACACAAAAAGTGTTGATTGGTGTGTACTTGTGTCTTGCAAACAATTATCATGATATAACGACGCCACCTCATGATATCATTGTGGCTTGACATATCGCCAGAATTATTAAGGTCATCCTGAAGGCATTGTGACCTTACTGTGACATCACAATGTGACGTTAGAAGAGTTCGTCATGAGATGTCATCATCGTATGGTCATATATACGTGGCCTGATCATGGAGGCACCCCTTTCGCCTAAACAATTCAAAGTGTACGTTATCTGAACGTTATCATTGTTAGAGGCTGGTATTTCTAGGTGCAGGGTAAAGCGTAGTGTAATGAAAGAAGTTGTGAAAAGTAAAGTAGGGTAATTTTGATCTTGACGTAAAACACTTTCCAAAAAAGGTTGGCTTCGCTGTTATAGAGCAGAGATCAACCGTACAGAGGCCGCGACAAATCTTCTAAACAGCGCACGCATTTGAAAAAATTCAAAAAGTATTACGGCAAAACACCTGATGTGATATTACATTCATTCCTTGAAATATTGCTGTAGGACCACTTGACCAATGTTCTGAATTCTGAGAACTGCGTTAAGACACTTGACTTGTTCGCTATAGAGCTAACTATTTCCTACAATATGCTTCCTGGCAACCGCGTTCTAACATTTGGCACATTTGATAACGGTTAGTGGCATTCTGTCATCGAGTAGCTCTTAGGCGATTCCTTTTCTCAATGCTTACTTGCAAAAGTGCACTTCTGCAGAAATGTTAAGCTTTTAGCCATCCCGCTGTACGCTGACCTCTAAGAAAATAGGCTTACAGCCTATGCTAAAACGACTAGCACAATTTTTCTCTAACGACAGGTTTGGCGAAATCGGTCACCCTTTCAGTAATAACAACCTTAATTTTTACCTACGCTGAAACTCTCCGCAGTAGTTTCACGCTGTACGAATTGCTGTGCTCTTTTTAGGTTCAAACGAACATTTGTGATTGGAAGCAGCTTTGCGACAATTACAAAGCCACAGTAAAAAGCCGCCTTTGTCGCTTGTTGTAGCCTTGTTCTTGGTTTTTTTTTTGTCGTTGCTCACAGGGCTGCACCAAGTAACGCGTCATATTTATCAAACTTGTTAAATGATCCTCTTGCATTCATAAAATGAGTGAAACCTAGCAGAGAATATTCCGATATTTTGCTACAGGCCAATTTTTTATAGGAGATGTATCTGTGTGAAAACTATTAAAAAAGCCAAAACAGGTGTTTCATTCGTGGATAGCCACGTGTAAAAGCGAATGGCATTCTTCTAATACAGAAAGCGAATAATTTACTTTTGTTATTATTCATGAGACGCATCAATCAGGACATCAGCTAAATCCCCTTTCTCATCTGACAACTGCACTGCTTTCTCATTTGACCGTTTACTTTGACAAGAGGTTGAAATCGTTTCGTGAATGTTGCATTCCTGGGCAGTCTCATTTAGGCCAACAAATCCAAGTCAATGCGCTTGTTACACGCAGCATAAAAGAGTGCAGCACGCGTTATTTGGAGGCAATAACAAACTTTAATAGCCCAATCTTGTGGAAAGTCTTCAAAACCTGTGGTATTTTGTAGACGATACGTGTTTATAGGATAAATTTACGCCCGATATAGAAACCTTGCTTCAGTACAGCTGCATTATGCGTATGCACACGTTCACTCTCGCACTTACGGTAGTTTGGATTGCAAACACCGGGCTGGCCAAACTTGGAGCTCCTGGTGGACCACAAAAGCTACCTTACCATGAACCTGATGCCTTCCAGGTACTGTACTCGTAAGTTGAAATAGTGAAAGTTCGATCTTAGCGCCACTACCTTGATAATGGATGCCAGGAAAAAAGTTAATGTGCCTTTGCTGGCTTAAAACAGACATCGGGGCTTTTTACGATTGACTATTTCATTCGATCACTAGGACTAGCTGGCGTGGTATTTCAGCCAGGAGGTATTGCGCAAAAGCACAACACAGCACGCCGGTGTTCACGTCTCTCTATGTGATGTGCTCTGTTTTTTGCACATTCATTCCTTTCTCATTTCTTCAGTTTATTGATTCACATTTTCTGATTTACATTTCCAAACGTGGCAAATTATTTTATGACCAGAAACGCCCACGGGTGTATTGCTATGACGTCACAGTTAACAAAGACCAAAAACACGCTTTGTTTTTGCCCAAGCGAACATTCAGGCATAAACACTATATGTAGGGTTCTACGTACCTTCTAAAAAACACACTTTGATTATGACTAAAATATGATGAACTGGGCTGCCAAATTTCCGACCATCTGGTATACTTCAACGTGCACCAGCATTCAACATAATGCGGGCTTCTGGCAATTCACTTCAATCGAAATGAAACCACCATGGCCAGAATCGAGCCTGCGACGTTCGCGTCAGCAGCAAAGGCACCAAAACCACTGCTTCACCTCAGCGGACAACATTAAAAATTTGACCAGGTTGCTTTTCAACTTAAATAATTTTCAACTGTAAGCTTGTAGATCACCAGTAGCGCTTGTTGAATGTTGATGATCGTGCTTTAGCCCAGGAACGCTTCGCCCCGTCAGAGTAAAGTTCCCGTGATTTGGATTGATGGATATGTGGTGTTTAATCACCCCCAACCACAATAAGATTGTGAGAGATGCTTTAGAAGAGAGCTCCGGGAATTTAGATCACCTGGTGTTATTTAACTTGCACCCAAGTCTGAGCACACGGGCCTACAGTGTTTTCGCCTCCATCTATAAAGCATCCACCGCACCCAGGAATCGGCCCTGCGACCAGCGGGTCAGCATCCGAGTTCCTAAGCCACTAAACCACCGCAGCGAAGCTTCCTGATATTTAAGCAGTGCTAGTTACAAAACCACACGGTACTGACATCGGGGATGTACCAACGCCATCATACATAATGGCTTCTGTGCATGTAAAACCATGGCCTCCTAAATGGCGGGTGCTACACGCCACGTGCTTGCCATCTCGGAAGCTATAGCGGAACGAAGGACTTTCCTGAAAACTAGGATGCACTCAGGTGCTGCGATCGTTCACCAACCGTGGAAAGCGTAGACCATGGGTAGCACATTATATTCGCCTAGTCTTCGTGCTTGCGGGCTACAAACGTCTTAGCCGCTTCGTTTATTGCAGTGTTTTGGCTTTTTTTTGAAGGACAGAACACACCATTTTCCACTTCCTGACCTCAATTGATTTGTCGAGCCCAGAAGATTAAGGTGATGAAGTGCAACGGCAGAACACTTGCTCATTGTCGTTTTGTCATAAAGCAGCTGCAAGCCACCCGAAGACAAACGGGCCAAAATTGAGATAATTACGCAAATTCATTTATTACACACTACTGCATGCTACTTCAGGTGTCGTACATTGCTGCTCTCATAAACACTAGCGCCAGACTTCTTTTTATGTATTTATAAGAAATTCTATGTTTGGAACATTTTTGTGAGCACCACTGCCCCAAAGGTGGAGAAAATTTGGTGTGTAACCACGTACTGCAATCCTAATTCAGCTGCATAGCATTTTTTTAGGCAACAAATGCACCGTCAGTTACCAAGGAGCTCTCCTCCCTGCGCAGAGTAGTGCAAATTAGAACTTATGTATTCGCGGGTGGTGACCCTTCATTACTGGTGGGCAAGGGCATTGCTGAAAAAATTGGAAGATCCCTCTTACAGTGGGAATCGATGATATCCGAAGCACGAATGAGAAAATTTGATATTTCATGGCAAATGAGCACAACGTTACGAGGTGGAGGTAAATGATGCCGTACATGACTTCCGTGTCATGATTATCATAATTGAATGGTTCCTTTGCCTTCGTCATCTATACACGTCACGCCAAACCAAACTTAGTATATGTAGAGCAGTCGAAACGGCCACGGGCACGCAATGAGCGTGGTATGTTGTGATGTTTTTACACGACGCGCGTGTAAGGATTATCACGTTTGCACTGGTCATATACTTCGTCGTCCATTGAAGTCAGGTACTACGAAGTTCGTTTTACGTAGAGCTAGCGAATGGGGCACGAGCGCATCCTCACGAGACCAATATACTGCTTTGTAGCGTTGATGCGCGCGCACGCTGGGCACAGCGACGCTACGTTAGCAAAACGCGAGCACTCTATAGTCTTATTCCAGCCACGACCGGTGCGACCGGCGTCCGTCGCCGTGGCCCGATGGCAGCCGGCGTGAAATCCGACATGCTTCATTTCGTGCCCATGCGTTACTCAGAAAACACTGCGTCTCTTTTTCGTGACATAGGGACGCCGGACGCTCTGAAACGCGCACGCGTCAAAGCAATTCAGCGCGGCACGCGCCTGCGAGTATATGGCAGGACCTGCGATTGGCGTGCAAACGCCGGTGAGCACGCACACTGCACCACGTCAAAACATATTCGCACCTTGACTGTGGCATGTAGTCATGTTTTCACATGACACACACCTCTGATGATAATCATGTTTGCATCAGTCACATACCTTCGTTATTCATTGGCGTCGCGTAATACCGAGTTTGGTACATGTGAAGCTAGCGAATCAGCCGCGAGGGCATCATGAGTATGGCATGTAAACATGTTTTTATATTACACACATCTCATGATTATCACTTATGCACCTCCGTCATTCATTCACGTCCTGTAACACCACATTTGGAATATGTGAAGCTAGCAAAACGACTGCGAGGGTACCGAGAGCGCGGCGCTTAGTCATGAATCATAACTTACATGACATGCATGTCATCATTTCTACGTTAGGGTCTGTCACTTATGTTCGCCATGCTGTCATGCCATGCCAACTTTGCAACATGTCATGTGAGCGAAACCACCGCAGGAGCAGCAAGACGTTGAAATAAAAATCACGACAACAATGACAAATCATGATAGTCACGTTATGATACATATGATACAGTGATACATATCATGATAGTCATGTTATGAGTAGTCAATTATGCTCGTCATACAGTCATGTTATTCCATATCAAATTTTGTATTGATATCATTACCGAAACGGCCAGGAGAGCTGAAAGTCGTAGGCGTCTAGATAGATAGATAGATAGATAGATAGATAGATAGATAGATAGATAGATAGATAGATAGATAGATAGATAGACAGATAGACAGATAGATAGATAGATAGATAGATAGATAGATAGATAGATAGATAGATAGATAGATAGATAGATAGATAGATAGATAGATAGATAGATAGATAGATAGATAGATAGATAGATAGATAGATAGATAGATAGATAGATAGATAGATAGATAGATAGATAGATAGATAGATAGATACAGGCAGGCAGACAGACAGACAGACAGACACTCAATGTGCCTTAGAATGCTTCCCGCTAAAAATGTTCATGGCCCTGAGTATTAAACCTAACTTCTTGTTCGCTTTTCAGGCCTCCATTACCAGATTCCTGCACACTTCCTCGGTAGCAAGCAGGGTTGCTAAATGTAGGGTAATTTTCGGAATTTTTCGGATGCGTGGGGTAGTAGGGCATTCTCGTAGGGTAATTTCAACACTTCGCTCATTATTTGTCAGCGCAAGATGTGGAATCTCCGCGTACCATATACAAACGGTAAATTTTCTCACAGATCGCAATAGACACTGTCCTAATTCTAGTTTCACCATCGTAAAAAACGAAAGGTAATACATAAAGCAAACTTGTACAAGGCTCGTTTTTTTTTGTTTGGATGACTGTCTTTTGCTTCTTTGTCGTCTCCCACCTGTTGGTTGCATCAAGGGACTTCTAGAAGTACGTCAATGGTATCGGCTTCAGTTACTAAGGTAAAATCTTTTTATATCGTGTAATTCACAAAGAGTGTTGATTGGTGTGTACTTGAGTGTTGCAAACAATCATGATATAATAACGCCACCTCATGATATATTTGTGGCTTGAAATATCGTCAGAATTATTGAGGTCATCCTGAAGGCATTGGGACCTTACTGTGACATCACAATGTGATGTTAGAAAAGGGCGTCATGAGATGTCATCATCGTATGGTCATATATACGTGGCCAGACCACGGAGGCAGCCCTTTCGCCTAAAAGATTCATAGTGTACGCTATCTGAACGCTATCATTGTTACAGGCTGGTATTTCTAGGTGCAGGGTAAAGCGTAGTGTTATGAAAGAAGTTGTGAAAAGTCAAGTGGGGTAATTTTCACCTTGGCGTAAAACACTTTTCAAAAAAGGTTGGCTACACTATTATAAAGCAGACATCAACCGTACGGAGGCTGCAACAAATATTCTAAACAGCGCACGCATTTGACAAAATTCAAAAAGCTTTACAGCAAAACACCTCACGTGCTATTACATTCATTCCTTGGAATATTGCTGTAGGACCACTTGACCAATGTTCTGAATTCTGAGAACTGTGTTAAGATACTTGACTTGTTCGCTATAGAGCTAACGATTTTCTACAATATGCTTCCTGGCAACCGCGTTCTAACATATGGCACATTTGATAACGGTTAGTGGCATTCTGTCATCGAGTAGCTCTTAGGCGATTCCTTTTCTCAATGCTTACTTGCAAAAGTGCACTTCTGCAGAAATGTTAAGCTTTTAGCCATCCCGCTGTACGCTGACCTCTAAGAAAATAGGTTACAGCCTATGCTAAAACGACTAGCACAATTTTTCTCTAACGACAGGTTTGGCGAAATCGGTCACCCTTTCAGTAATAACAACCTTGATTTTAACCTAAGCTGAAACTCTCCGTAGTTTATTTACCCTGTACAAATTACTGTGCTGTTTTTAGGTTCAAACAAACATTTGCG